ACCAGCAATCCTGAAATAGAGGCAAAGATATTCCTTCAAAAAGGGCAAATGGGTCCCGAGTTGTTTCCCAGAGACCCTCCTCCTGTCCTCAGGGAAACACAGCCTCGTGAGAGGGTGACTTCTCTCACCCTGGGACTCATTCCTCAATTCACACACGCCACCACTATCACCCCAAGTCCTAGCCCACTTTCTGTACTCTGCACCCTTCCCCTGGATCTGCAGACACTCTCCTCAGAGCCTTGCTACCAGCCTCCTGTTTTTCCCTCTTTTGCCTTGAATTCACTCCAGCCTGTTCCTTTTCTGGGACCTCCCTCCCTCCACTCCAGCTCTTAACCTGCAAGTCTCTGAGCTCACACTTGTCTTCTGACTGCTCTGACCACCAGAACCTCCCCGGGGCCTGCTTCTAGCTTCCTTGCAGCCAAGGTCCTTACATTCTGCCCTCCTCAGGGCCTCTCCTCCAAGGACCCTGTGGGTGTGCTCACCTCCCTCTTGGCTCCATCTCAGCTGAGCTAAGCTCTGTGGAGACATTCCATCCATCTGCCCCCAGCCCTGTTCTCCTACCTTCTCCACCTCAACTCAGTCCTGATTAGTGCATCCTCTATACTTACACTTTCTAGAAAGTTCCAAGAACTTAGAGTATCATGTCCACTCTGTATTCAACTGGGTCCTTAATGGTTCTGGGCAATCTTTATTGTAGTTTTAGTTTATTCCCAAGACTTTTCTATTAGTGGGTGTGCTCTTCTACTCCATTCTCTCTCTCTCTCTCTCTCTCTTTCTCGTTGCATCTCCCACTTCTTCCTCATCTTACAATTGCCAATCTTAGGACCTGGAGGTCACTCACAGCCATTCTTCTCTCCCCCACACCCTTCTTGACCACGCCATCACCTTCCCCTTACATCTGACCCCTTGGCCTGCCCTCTCTGATCAGAGGAAGCTGTAGTCTTCTCTTAGTCTTTCCTGGGCTCTGATCCTTCCACCTTTTCCAGTTTAGTACCAAACAATACGATTTTACATTGGCATCTGATGCCTAGAGTTTATGGAATCTTGGAAAAGTCAAGGGGCAGGTGCCAGAGTTGTGGATCACTCTCACTGGCCAGAAGGGAACTGGTACAGGAAAAAACCTTGTACCACCCAGACCCAGTCTGCCCTGGCCATGGAACATTCCAGATATCACACACTATTATTCCCAACTGCTTCGGGAAAGGAAAAAAAGAAGCTCAGGGCTTATTCAGGCAAGAAATCATCCCACTAAACCTTTCTTTCCCTTCAGAATTGCAAACTTGGTCAAGGTCCTAGACACTGAGTCTATACCAGGTTGGTC